GGGGGGATACCATTGGGGGGGGGGGGTCGGTGAACCGAGAACCGGGATCATATATGGAAGAGTCCTACTACTACGACTAATAATAATAATGATTACTAGTACTAGTACTTTTGTCCTGGTACTACTGCTGCTGCTGCTGCTGCTACTACTACGCGTACAACTACTACTGCTACTACTACTACTACTACTACTACTACTACTGCTGCTTTATAGAAGTTCTATCAGGGTTCTGAGAGATCTAATTACGGCTGCTAGTATGGGATTTTGTGTTGTTGGTGGACTTTCCAAGCCTGACAGTGCTGTAGGGCTACGCCTTCATCGAGTTCAAAGAGGAGAGTGTGGCCAAGATTGTGGCATCTACCATGAACAAGATCCCGCCTTAGTTTCTCTTGTCCACAGCTTCAGCAACCAGCTATCATTCTCGTATCGAAGCTCAGGTACCTTCTGTTTGACAAGTCCCTTGTGTGTGAGTTCCTGCCCAAAGAGAAGGTGGATACACGGATACACCTGCAGAGCAGTCTGGCTTTGTGCGCATGCCGTAGAAACTTCTTAGAAACCTTGCCGGCAGTGTCACAAGAAGCTCTTCGCTGGCTGGCGAAGAATACCGAAGGACAAGTTAAGCTCACAGCTTCCTTCTGAACAGTGCTGGAGTGGACTGTACACTATCGTACACTCCTCTCTTGGGGTTTGTGGCTTTTGCTGCATTGCTCGCTTGTACAGGACACTCGAAAAGAGAGGCGAGAGAAGGAAGTCATACAAGACAACGACCGACCAATGGTTGAGGTGCCGGTGAGTCTGAGTTCGAGTGTCTTCAGTGTTGCGGCTGTGAGGTCAACGGCGTGTCCATTCCGCAGCTCACAGAGCAGCAGGCATCACTGGCGCTGCAAATCATTGTGCGTCAGCTAGAGATGTACCTCGCAGGCAAGCAGGCAGCAGCGACAAAAGCGAAAGCTCAAGGACCCGACACTTTTGGAAGGGATCCTGCGAAGCAGTCCTCACTTTGAGCCCTGGGGATCTTCCAAGGAGAAGCTGGCCAGCCTCGAGGTGGACTTTGATTTAGACGAAGTTCTCAACCAAGGAGGCACGACAAGGAAAGCCGTAGGTAGTACAGGTAGTACGCCGGAGAGTCTGACAGTGCTTCTTAGGCACGGCCGACGATGAGGCAGAAGAGGATGCAAAGGAGGAGAAGGACAGCTGATAATTGCAGGTATCGGCATGAGGAGCTGGTGAAGTGCCATCTCACACTATCGGTTCTTGATGCAGGTGAACATCCCTAATTCGTGAACCCAAACGAGGGTTTTATGTGAGAGACGTCTTCTGGACAGCTTCCACAGGAGCCTGCCAAGAAGCGTCCCAAGAAAAAGCCGAGGCCCGGGCAGCAGCACCTCCAGACCTCCAGCTGAATCATAAAAACCCTAGGGGATTACACCAGGTTACTGGTCCTAACTGGGATGTTATGTCACACTGTGAGCTTTGTGTTTGGCATGCTCTTGCCGACGAATAGTCGGGCCTGCCGGTGCTGCACGACTGCCCCGGCCCCCCGTGTAACTGACTCGCAGGAAGCAGGCGGCCGACAGCTTGGTCTCCAGCAGACGTCCAACAGCTTGTGAACGCTGCATGGCACAGTTGCTGCAGGCTGCATAGCGGCGTTGCGAAGTTCTGGGGAAGAGGGCCATCACTAAGCACGGCACCTGAACTCTTTGCTTGGCTGCGGTTGCTCTGTACCGTAGATCACAGTGGCTGGTCGCGTGAGCTTCAGGCCCCTCGCCCACGCTGCCTTCAGATGGAGCGCTGAGGTGACATGAAAGGGAGGCTCAAAGGTACCAGCCTCTGCATGAGCATTGGCGCGCAGCCAAAAGTTTCACATCGATCTGCTGGCCTGTGCTGGCCTGCACAGCTCTGGCTTCGCATCAGCAGCGCTCCAAAATGCCCTGCTCCATCGGACTTGCACGACGCACGTAGATTTTGCAGAGGGCAGTCAATGTGCTTGCACGAATGCAGATGTGGTGTGAGGGGACTGTGATGTTTGATTCCAGGGCGCCGCAGGCGAAAGACTGCAGCGGAGCAAGCATCTGCAAAAGAACCAGGACACATTGCAGTTTCAATTCGCAAGGAAGACGAAGCGGAGCTTGGCCAGAAGCATGCTGCACGTCGCAAGAGAATCTAGTGGCAGGACTGGAACTCCCGTGAGTTCCTACGAGAACTCAACCGCCAAGCGAGGAGGCCGCAGCTGTTGGATCTCCATGCTGAGATTGTTGCAAGATGTTTCTGCCTGTCAGTCTCTCGATGGAGTTCAAGCCTTTTCAAGAAGTTCTTGACCACTCGTTCAGGCAGCAGTCCGAGAATTCGTTCTGTGTTCCTTCGCAGAGAGACGGCAAGTTTGAGCCAGGTAGCCGGATGGCCGGTCCAGGCTCAGAGGAGTCGAGGCGATTTTGAGGTGCGAGAAGCTGTGCCTTGTTTGCCGGAGGGCAAAGATGGCTGCAGCTGCGCACAGATACTGCAGAGCTGAGAGTCGACAGCTGCGTTAAGAGAAGATTTCGCGTCAAGTATGTTGACAAGCAGCTTTCTGGTACCATCTGGTTTTGAGGCTCCCAAACGGGAGAGCTCGCAAAGCTCGAAGAGCAGAACTTTGAAGATTGTCCCTGCTCTTGCGAAGTCTTGGACCCGACGCATGTTGGCTGGGTTGCTTCTTTAGGATTGTCGTGCCATGGCTGTTGTGGCTCTTTCGCGCGGCTGAATGAATGGTCTCCAGACCCGAGCCGACGGGAGAGAGAAAGGGCTTCTGAAGTTCGTGCATTCGTCTGCGCCTTGCTGTTACCATTGGGCGCCACGATGACAAGTTGTCAGGGCATCAAGGCCTGGGAATCCAAGGTACGCAACACAGGAAGTTCTCCATTGAATGGCAATTTGTATCCAGTGTTGCCTTCGTACGTTACGCAGCCTGCAATAGTTGGTTTGAAGAGACCCACTAATGACCTCAGAGCTTCAGCAACACCTGGTAATGTCTGGTTCAACTTCCCCTGAACACGATGGGTTCGTGTCGTGCGCCTGATGTCCTGGGCAGCGCACTAACCCAAACGACTGTGCTGTTGCCTCTGCCACCAACGCCAAATAATGCCAGCATTTCTGGTTCAAGCAGCAATGACTGGTTGTAGGCAACAAGTTGAAGTACGCAATTATTGACCTGCAGCAGCGAGCAGATCGCAGCTCCTTAGCGATTGCAAGCCCTGTCGAAACACCGGCACAGCAGCTTTTTCCCGGTTCCGAAATCGCTGTGACACGTGATCTTGCTTCGATGCAATGCTGGAGTTGGTAACAAGACGTCAACGGCTTGCATCAAGACGGAACACATGAACCCTTGCGATTGCTCAGCAACGAGGCTTGGAGGCTGTGCGACGCCTTGCGTGCGTATTTCTTGCCGGGGCCTTTACCATCTTTTCTGCTGGTCAGAGCGACGCCAAGATGAAGCGAGCTCAAAGTCCTTGGCAGGTGGAGCTTGATTTTTCCTTGTTGACTTCGAAGCCTAACAGCCTGGTTTTATGATGGGATTCCTTGCGTGGCCTGGGCTGGGCTCCTGAAGCTAAGGTTGTATGTTTTGCCTTTTGGCAGCGGTATCGGTATCGTCGGTTTGACCAAAGTCTGCGAGCTCAGACTCCAGGAATCGGTGCTTCTGCGAATGTCTGACAGCTCCCTGTGGTGGCGCCCAGCGCAAGGTCAGAGAAGTCGGCATCGTCCACGAGGTCGGCAAGTAGACAGCGCGGGAGGAAACCCTGGAACATTTGTTATAGGGCGACTTGCCTCGGAACTGTTCACGGTCCGTTCACGGTGCAGCAGGTGCACCACGGCCACGGGACTTCGTCCTGGCTCTCTCAGCTGTTCCATTTTCACGGTGGCCGTTCTAGTTTGGCCATGTGCACCATGAAATACGAAGCATGACACCTTCACTCGAGTGGTGACACTCTTGGCCAGGCCAGCAACAGCAGAGGAGCTGGGAGATTGGCATTTTGGTGGGCGAAGGTGTGAGAGGATGCAGTGGATCCACACCCGTCTTTGTGAGCGCAGGCGTTGGCTTTGGTTTCACGACGGCAAGACCCAGAACGGCTGGTTTGAGCCCGGTGGCCTGGTCTGCCGGCAGGAGATTGCGGAGGGGTCACCCACGCCAGCCGGCCAGATACGAAGCCAAAGCTTGTGGTGAAATGTCCGTGTTTTTGTTGGGTCCGCATGCGTGCGTGATCGTGCGTGCATGTCGCTGTGCTTGTGGAATGCCAAGGCTCGGAGCCGCGGGGGGGCTGCGAGTTGAAATCGGCCGGAGCCGGGGAGGCTCGGAGCTCGGACGTCTTCGTTTTTTGTATTCAATAGCGCCACGTCTACCTCGCCACATTCTGCGGCACTGCCCCAGCATGCTCTATGGCTATGTAGCGTTCTTTGCTTTCACTTTTCTGTCACGCTGTGAGAAGTTCAACTTACGTGCGTTCAGGGAGCTGGTGGCGGGGATGGTCAGGCGAGCCGAGGCCTCAGTAGGCAGCTCGTTTGAATGCGCACAGTCAGGCATCACACACACACAAGTATATTTTGATACATAGCGTAAGAGTATGTCAATGTATACATGTATGTGGGCATGTAAATGTATGGATGTATGGATGAGGCTGGTCGTTTCCTTCGGCCGCAAAAGCCTTGGTGTTACTTGCAGAGCGAGAGCTGTTGACGGACTGACCTCATCTGAACGGGCAGACCTGGGTGGCCCAACTGAGGTTGTCATCACGTCTTGGAGCTAACACAGGCAGCACAGACCTTGGGTCACTGCTCTTGCGTTGCACTCCAGCGGCTTCGTGTTGTGCCACCGAGGCCGAGATGCCCACTTTTCGGGTACGGGAGAGGAAAATGAAGGCCCGAAAAGCCCTCAGCCGCTGCCCATGAGAAGCTGAGCAGCGGCCTGGAGACTGAGTGCGGCCAGGATGGCTCCGTGGCACGGGCACACGAAGAGAGAACCATCGGAAAGAGCACCCGGCATGACCTTCACTTGATGTTCCTGTGATGTCATTCTGGCCAGCTCTGCGAGCCAGGTTGGATCTGAACTTTACAAGCTGAACTCTACGGCACGATGCGTGCAGATGCATGACTGTCAACTACCTGTGAAGCACCGCTTCGCAACAACTGTGAACAAGCAGTACGGAGACAGGCTGCTTCGCAACAGCGGCTGAGCACACAGGTCTCTTGAGAGCAGACCTAAGTTCCACCGTCGACCTGGTGCCGTGGTGTTGGCTAATCCGAGCTGACCGATTTTTTTAGGCTTTTGGGGGCAGAGCAGGGTGTCTCACAGTCTTGCAGGGGTGTGACGGCAAGGGGTCACAAGCAAAACAAAATCCTGTTGGCCAAACTCGACTCGACCTGCAGAGGTTGACACCATAGGGGTTCGATTCGCAGTCGCAGCTTGACTTCGGGAGCACATGAGACCGCAGCGTTTGCTGATCATGCAGGTTGGAGACGGGAAAGTATTCATTGCAGCAAGTCGACGGCCACTCCAACGAATATGTTCAAACGGGAGTAGCACCGTCTTGGCACATGCTGTTCTTTCGTTCTTGCCGGTGATTTCATACCATGGATACGCAGAGATACAAGACGGGAAGGAGGCCAGATGTTGCAGATATGTTCAACATCGTGCAATAATTTGCATGTATCGTCCAGGCGATGTGCTGGCGTAGCGCTCACTCTGGTGTGCAGCTCAGATTTGCGACTCTCAAGGGCTGCCCATCGGCTTAGATTAGGGTGGTGCCGCCGACTGCTTCAGTACTCCTAATCCAGGCCGTATGCCTTGCTCTGGGCAACAACGCTTTTCTGGAAGCTCCCGGCAAACCGACAGGCAGCAGCAAGACCTGCGAAGTGCAGCTAGCTCAAGGGTCATGTCCGAGAAAGGCCGCCCGAGTGGTGATGGTCGACATCATAGCCGAAGGAGGCAAGCAGACGACCCAACAAGCCCTTTGTGTGTTGTGAACCCTGGACGCTTTCTCGTCCTACACGGAGGCTTTTCCAGCTAGGTGCCGGGGCGCTTCTTTTTCCTGCGGAGGCCTGCCTGTTGTTGTGATGCCATGTCTAGTGCCGGCATCAGCAGTGGCATCAACCAGGGCGCTCATGCACTTGGTGTCGCCTTCGATTATCGCACATTGGACGAGATTCAAGAGCCAACCAGGACACTGCACCGTGTGATGAGATGGCGCAGCAAGAAGAGCCGCATGAGTTGACCTGACCTTCGCAGGAAGCCTGTGGGAGATGTGACCTCCGAGAAGGCACAGAAGGCCGGTACATGCTGAGCTCGCATGTACACGCGAGTGAGCGCATGCGCAAAGCCTGTAACCACACACCATGCAGAGTTGCCATGTTTGCCTGCTGCGAGGCGATCGGCCTCATCAAGGAGTGCCGTGAAAAGATCAAGTCCTTGTTGACGCAGCTCCTGCAGACTTGCTGCTCCGAGACACCTATACAGTTACCTCAAAATGCTGGTACTTCGCCAGGAAGTTCACGGCAAATCCAGAAGTCGATTTCACCCCGTACTTCGAACCACAGCTGCCCGTATGCATCGGAGGCAGTCCAGTTTCAATACAGTTGAACTCTGGCAGCAGAGGCCTGACAAAATCCGCGCAGCCATG